AGAGTATTGTAAGGGGCACTATGTCTATTCCAATTTTACGCGCACTCCCTGTTATCTTAATCTCCCTCCTTTTACCGTCTCGTTTCTCTATCTCGCTCCCATTCACGAGACTGCGGCTATTTTCAGGGGCTCCGGATCCGCCTCAGACACCTCTCAAATACGCCAGGCATGTGGGCCATGTAGTGAGATCCTGAACAAACGTTCGGAAGAACACACAAATGATGCACAGATAATCCAAATATACATTACGTATATATATATACATATATACATATATTTGGCCTCCCCTTTATTTTCACCTCAAAAATGCTTTGCCATCAAATTTACACTGGACATTTTTTTCCCCCTTTTGAAGTTTTACGTCGTGGGGTGTGTGTCTGCCGTGGATGCCGCTGCCGCCCTCTGCCTGGCTGCCCACTGCGCCATGTACTCACAGGCGTTCTCTGGTTTATCGCGGAGTACGTCAGCGACGAGCCTCTCGATTATACCGCGGACGTTGTGGGAGTGGAGGTACGCCTGATCCTTCTGGATGCTGCTGATGTTGTGGCCCCCTGTTCTGCTCTGCATTTCCTTTTCTTTTTTTTTTTTTATTTCCTTCGCCCTCCCCCGTCTTTTTGTTTTTGTTGCTTCAGACGGTTCTCCCCTCTTGTCGGTCCTGCCGGTTGGCTCCCTCCATGCAACACACACACGGATATATAGGGAAAAAGAAAAAAAAAAAAACGAGCGAAAGACGGAAGAGCACACACGCATAAAAATATTTCCGCCATGAAACAAAAACAAGAACATATATATATATACAAATCTTTGATCCTCTCTCTGTGTGTGTGTCTTTGCTGTTGTCGTCGTTCAAACAACCCCGACAGCAACCCACCCCACTTACTCATTCACACTCAGAAAACAAATGTCAGACACGCTCTTAATTCTTCTCTACCAATTCATATGTGTACATACCCCACATTTCCCTTCTTCCACTCTTCCAACTCTCCTTCTCTTCGCAGAAGGTTCGCAGGAGGAAAAACAATAACAAAAACAGGGAGTTGCCGCAGTAAATACGGCAAGAAAACAAAGCTCTATGCCTTCTTGACAGCACTCACTCTACTAACACGCGTGGATCCATTCAACGCCGCACCTGTCAAAGATTTCCGACCTTGCTGCTTGGTTTGTTGGGTAATTGGTGGCAGCTTTGCGATGCTGCTGCGTGAATTCCGTTGAGCCAGTGATGTATCCTTTGGAGGGCTCCACGTTTCTGGCGGGACAAGCGTAGAACCCCGCATCCTCACGTAATACCCAACCGTCTCGTCAAATTTTACGCCGCAGGAAACGCACAAATTCCTTGACGGTAATGTCTCAAAAACAGAGCCCGCCCCACGTGCGTGTCTACATGACTTCACTAAATGTTCCTGTTCCCTTAGGAACTTTTTCAGCTGCCGTGCTGCCGCGGCTTGCGCGGCGGCCTCAATTCGCTCCTGCTCCTTCCGTAGCGCCACCTGCTCAGGACTGTTCATGAAGTTTTCGTATGCAATTCTCTCTGCCTCGGCGCGGGCGTTGACTTCCTCGGTGCAGAGCGCCGCCCATGCCGCTTCCTCCTCGGCCACTTCATCCCGGCGTTCTCTTCTCTCCATTCCCATCAAGAAGGCCGCGGCAGCGCGTAGCGAGTCCTCACACTCGCGGCGCCAGCGCGCCATCGCCTCCTCACGCTGCTTACACCTGGCCTTCTCTTCCACCTCCCGCCTCCACCCCATGCGACCTTCCTCGCGAAGGGCGTCCTCATTAATTTCGTATTGACGCTGTTGAGTGGTTGCCCGCTTCCGCAAGCGCTCCAGGAGCCGCGAGAGGGCGCGATCACTCATCACCTCCTCCCCTGCTTCTACACGCCATTCAATAACTGCAGCCAAAAGGGATGTCGCATCGTTCACTATCTCCTCTCGCGCTATGGACTCCTCCCGCTCCAAATCTCTCCGCTCAGAAGCGTTCTTCAGCAAGTTGTACTCCTGCAACGCCTTATGCTTGATCAGGCCCAACTCCCACGGTTCAAATCGCTTCCGCACACTCTCCTCAATACATAACGCAGAACTCTTGACATGTCCTCTCCCGCATGGGTCGACGACAGGAGCAGCCCAATGCGATGAAGTACAATTAAATGGCCTGACAAATAACGGCTGCTCAGCATCCCCAGCACTACTAAAAACCATTGCGCCCCCGCCAACTTCCTCTTACCAATATTCGGGCCGCAACACGTAGAAGAAGGCAAGACAAAGCAAAACAAAAAGAAAAGAGGAAAAAAAAAATGGAAATAAAAGAGAAAAAGCAACCTCGCCAGCATAAATATAGATGTATATTCACTCCGCAATCATACACGTGTATAGATATAGATATATGGATATGCATCATGCAGCCATGATGCAAAATCAAACTCTCACACGGTGCGGAATTGTTCATGTGCATTTAAAACGATCTGCTAGAGCCTTGCTATATTCGTCGATTCTGTTCACTGCCTCC